ACTACGGATCGCCGAACGCTCATTCTCCGCCCAAAATCTAGCGCTACGGCCTGAACCATGCAGATACCAGGGTTTCAATACAAAGCGTTATCTTGTTAAAAAGTTATGTTATTCTCTCAAATTTCAAAGAAAAAATGGCGGCCGACGAAGTCCTGGAATACATGGCGATGAGTGGCGCCAGTTAATCGGGCACTGTTTTCCCACTGAAATTTTAAGAATATTCGCCTAAAACTTTTGAATAAGATAATGGTTATAGTTCTGAAACTTTGGCGATTGGTTCGGATCGTGCACTATCGCTACATTTGGGTGGATGCTGAGCTTTCGGCGATGCGTCGTTCATTATTGCGGCAAAGAAATAGAAAAAAACAAAACTTTCAAGCCTTTTGGGGGAGGACAGTAGTTGGCATCGCAAGTTTGTTTTTGGTTGGCGGTGAACACACAATTTGGAGAAGTACCGGCCATACTTTAAAAAAAAGGCATTTACAGCCATACAAGCCATAGCCTAATGTACTATACGAATGACACATATAAAGAAAAATCTGGAAATTATACGTTTTATTCATAGACTCAAGAACTTTAAGTGGTTTAAGAAAATCTCACTGTGTCTACTCGTAATATACACATAAAACACGGAAAATATTGCCGGTGATGTCCGCCCCATCTATTCACTTAAAATATGGTCAATTTAAAAATTACTTTTACAGAAAGGTGCAATAAAACAATGCCATTATGTTCCATCAGACTAGGAAAGTATGGCAGACAACCATAGCCAAACATCAACTTGATCTTAGCGTTTTACTTTGAGAAAAATTCATACAATATGTCATATTGCTATCATGTGGTAATATGGAACATAATCTCCATGGGTACATATGTTTTTTTGTTTTTTTTTTTGTTTTTTCCGATAGGGGATGCTTGGGAGAGAAAAAAAAGGTTCTTCTCACTACAAAAAAAAATAATAAAACTAGATTTTATGGTGGGTTTTCTTAGGGAATGCGTTAGCACGGCCCTTAGGAAACACCACGCACGTCCTCTTCTGGGAAACGCTAACGCTGGCCGCTTCACTTTTTTGTATTGGCTTTTTCTTTTGACTTTCTTTTTTGCATTCTTTATTTCTTGCTGCCTTTTTTTTTTGGCCACATTACGGGGTTAGTGTTAGCACTTCCCCAAAGGGGACGTATGGGGCTTTTCAAAGAGTCATGCTAACGCAATTCCCTAAAAATCCACCAATGGATCTTCCTTTAATTTTTTTTTTCCGCCTTTTTTTTTGTACTCTACCTGTCAGACTATGTCGACGCCCTGATACAGTCATCCATATCACTCGTGGAGAGAACCAGATCCAAATCACTCGTGGAGTGAACCGCATCCGTATCACTCATGGAGGAAACCGCCATATCCATCGTTTTAACAAAACACACACAGCGCAGCCCACGTACCGCTGCTACGGAAACCCAAAGTGAAGAAGGTCCGGCAACGACAGAGCGGCAACTGAGCACGCCAACATACCACCGCGCCGCGGCGCCTCCTCCTCTCTGGCGCCGCGCCAGCTGTGCGACTTTCCTTTGTCGAAAACGAAGACGCTCGTTTTGACGAAAAACCCGGGGGTGTCTGTCAGTTTGTCAGCACCGGAAAGAGAGGGAGGAGGAGAGGGGAGGGTGACAAGGGCTGACGTCAGCGCTTTGGCCCAATGGGAGCGTTGCACGCGTCACCCTCTCTCCCCCTTCTCTCTTTCTCCCCGGCGCTGACAAACTGACAGACACCGCCGAGTTTTCGTCTAAACGAGCATTTTAATAAAAACGCATCGCCGGACGTCTAGTATTTACTAGTGCCACTAAATAAGGTATGCTTCAGAGTAATGACACTTGGCCAAATCGTGGCTTAAAATCATGGTTGCCAGTTATCTAAAGCTTTACTTGAAATCACAGGAAACGCGTTTCTGTTCTCCACAAATGTTAAAACAGTTCACGACAAAGCAAAGCAATATTACATCAGCTTCCTAACACCGAATCTAATGCTGATGAAGTCGCACTTTTAAATTATGACGATCGGGGGTTGCGTCTGCTCTGCACAAGCACCAAAATAGCGGCGCCCAAAACAATGTCGGGGAACGGAGTGCCGATCCGCTAAGCGCAGCGCATTTAGTGGCTCTAGTATTTACGAAAAGGAAGCGCTAGCCGTTGGAATTAGAGGCAAAAGTGTCAAAACTATTCGTTGCCGGATTAGAAAAACTATAAGCTATATTGAGAAAAAAAAAATACCAATGATGAACTGGGACTGGTCCGAATCGGATAACGGCAAGTTCTCAAAGCTAAAGCATCTCGTCCCAACCGCTAGAGCTATATTTGACCGTGACTGAGCGTTCGACGATGCGTAGTTTATCTTCGAGGCCCAACAAAAACACGGTTCTCTTTCCTTTCAAACACTCGGTATACTGGGGTCTAACTTCGATCTTATCTGATAAATATATTGCTCCCAGACTAAACTTACGATATTTTGTCTGCGTTTATGGCGCAAAAAAGTCCTCTCCCGGCAGAGGGCGCATCATGTGGTGCAGCCTTCTCTCTCCATGCATCCATCCGCGCAGGGTCATCAACGTGGCATCGGGAGCCATAGAGTCATTATAATGTACACTAGAGGTTCAGCTGGCGCTAGCGTGCCGCTGCAAATTGAGGTAGACAGCAACCAGACAAAAATTAACTTCCGGTATTGGGTCCCTATTGGGAAAAGTGGGTGTATCTTTTTTTCTACGCTTAATTATAAGAGGAAATATTACGAAGAATTGTAACGTAATAAATAGCTTGAAGCATTTCTCAAACAGCGAAAATACGGCATTGGGGCTTTTCTGCATTGGAGATTTGCGTGCCAAAGGAACGAGGGGTATCTGTAAAATTAAGAAAGACTGTAAGGACCACTTTTAACACTAAAACAGTAGCTTCCTGTTCACGTAGGCGATCGATCAAGAGTAATTATACCCCTATTCGCAATTAATAATTTTCGCTTTACTCTCACTGCTTATTCCTATATGCGAAGATGTTTGTTCCAGCGTCCAAGACGTCATCCGCACGCTCGAAATCTTTTTCTTTTTCAAATAGGAAGCATCGAACGCTCGAAATCTTTTTTCAAATAGGGAGAAGCCAGAAAACGGATGCCTGACAAGAGCTACCCGGCATATAAAATAACAGAGAGAGGTATTTTTGAATGCCCATGTACACTATATTTCACGCTTTGAGTGATCTTTAAACGCTCGTAAAGCTGCGCGACTGGTCGCTGCATGCAGCCACAGGGCTGGCTTATTAGCAATATATTAGCATCAACGGAATTCTGGTGCACCTTACACACGCCTTCCTTTTGATTGTTATTTTGCTTAGATTTGTCGGTCGTCTTTACACACCTGCTGTGGAACACAGGTCTGGGCCTGAAATATAGCGAAGTTTAACGTCGTTCATTGATGAAGAAAAACGCTGTAACTAGAGCAATTGCACTTTTACAATGATAATAAGGGTACACTTTATATTCGGTACGATCCAAATTACAAAGGTGATCTCTGCTACTCTTCCGGCGAACACACGAAATGCAGGCGCACTTTTCCCAGGAACGCACAGAAGCACCGCAAAACGAGTCTGGTTGTCGCCTGCTTCAATTTGCATCCCGGAAAACGCATAGACACTGCGCCGGTTAAACCATCTATTATAGCGTACATTATCATAACTCTATGTCGGGAGCAGCCTAGCGGGATCATTTCGCGGTGTTTATTGTCACTCAACTCCCAAAGCATACAAAAGAGCAAATAAAAAGGGATCCTCCGACGCTTCTGAGATGGCCAATTTCTCCTTTTCGTTTGTTAACAACATTCCGAGAACCCCCGTTGTCACGCCGTTCGATTTCGCCACTTCGACTCCGAGACGAGTTCCTTGAGTTCTTTCCTTCTCTCTCTTTCCCCCCTTATGTCTTTTTTTGTTTTGTTTTGCCTCTTTTTTTATTTAAAGAAAAAAAAAGAGTCGCAAAAGGCAGATCCTTTTCTGCGGACATGATGACAGAACAATCTACAGACATGTGTCAAACATGTTGGAACATGAATGAAACATGCTTCATACATTTGTAGGCTTCTTCTGCAAACAGTTTTCGTGCCGTCGTAAGACGAAGAAACATGCCTCACCGAGTGTCTTCAGGCGGCTCCTTGTATCATGCGCTAGCAGTGGGATCCGCGACCTAATTAAAGGCTGGTCGACACAGTCGCGTTTGGGTGGGACCGAATGCCCTGTGACCGCTCGTAACCGCTTGCGACGCGAGAGGAGAGCGCGCTGGCATGCACACTGACGGCGCCTGTCGGCAAGCCTCGGAACCCTTCAGCTCTGCGCATATACCAGACTGGAGGTTCGGCAGTATTTGCGAGATCAATTGTCTACGCGCGGTCAACGAGAAAGGGTCGATATATAACACCGTCGGGATTCTGTCGACGGTACAGAAAAATAGAAAAATATACGACGATCGTGAGTGTTCCGAGACTGATCGATAGATGTCGCCAGTATATATATGTTCTCTCGACTGATTGAGTGCCTTCATACACTCATGCGGTAGTGCTCGAGTGGGGAAATATCAGGCTCCTTTTTTTTCTCTCCCGCTTGTTTACGTTTATATAGTTTGCAAGTGTGCGCAATCCGGTGTGATTTAGCACGAGCGCGTATGTGCCTTAGCTAATGCTACAAAAAAAAACATTTTACCACGCAAGTCACGCACTGAGTGAGTGAGCGCGTCAAATCCTGGCCCACTTTTTGAAGCGAAAGATGGCTTCACCCTCAAACAGACAGATATGTCACAAGCGCGATTGCAATGCATTCTGCCACACTCAAATGCGGATGTGAGAACGAGCCTTAATACGGAAGAAACATTTCCTCCGGGACGCGGTTATGACACCTCTCTTTGTCCTGCCAGTTTGAACCTTCAAAAAAAGAGAGAGAGACAAAAAAAATACACGTTAACATTTTTTTTTTTTTTTTTAAGTTAAGAAATTTATTGGCACGCAAGTCTTAGGACTGCGGTTTCACACAGGCGTTGCAGCATCGGCACGGACTGCTGATGGGTGTCGTTCCCTCCGGGCACGCTGCGCAGCTCACGGCTGCGCAGTTGGGCCAGTACTCGTCGCGGTCTTCGGGCTTGCAATCTTTCAAAATAAAGAGAAATACATAAGTGTTTTTTTTTATTATTTAATTAAGCGAACCACAAGCTTTCGAGAAATGTCAGACAATCAATCTTTACTTTCAAAAAAAAAAAAAAAATGGGAATTAGTTTTTTTTTTTTTTTAAATAAGCGGGCGAAAATGTTCTTTTTAGGTAAAACCGAAACTGATTTTAAACTATTTAGCACTATAGGATGAGCATATCTATTCGAATGACATTACGGCGAATAAAACCTTCAGTTTAAACTTGTGGTGTTCTAGACAGTGCTTCCTAACATTAAAAAAAAATATGTTGTTTCAGAGAATGAACATGTCAAAGCCAATCTCCCATTTGAGAAAGTAAAATACAAACCTTTATTTGTATAAGTAAGTTTTATCTAATCAAAAGCACACTCTTGAAACTAGGTCAACAGATTAACCGCCCCTGCTCACATGAGTAGGTCTTCTCGAAGATAATACCCTCCCTGAATCCCCCATCGCCAAAAGCAAGCGAAACGTTGCAAAAAAAAAAATGCTGTAATAAAAAAAGTTTTTTTTTTTTTTTTTTTTACATTCGTTTTATCCAAAAAAAAATTCTAATATAAAGTTTCCTAAAAGCAAAATTGTAAACGCACAGATATTTTGTCGCGATTCACAGCGGCAGCTGTTGTGTTTTTGGAAGAACTGCCTAAAAAAATTGCTTTTAGTCGATGTGCTTTACGAAAGTTTCTTAGGGAGCTTCGCTTACTGTTGATTTCCATCGCGTTTTTCTGACCCTATTCTCACGGTTTCGCCTTGAGACCGCCAGGTGCTAAACAAGGCAGGCACGCGAACCTGGCGCCACAGCTTTCTAATCTGGCCGCTGCGTGACGTCGACGTCGACGTCACCCATAGTAGAACAGTACTAGGAGATGCACTTTAGGGGATGCTTGAAAGGCGCTCACGCGCTGCCTCTCGTGCGTGATAGTCGCCGTCTTATGAGGAGTATTTACTGGGCGCCATATTTGTGGGTGATGTTTAGAGCGCATGCTCTGAACGAGCTCACATCAATAGGCTGCTAAGACCGGCACTCTCGATGGTGCGGAATGCACGTTGCAAAAGAACTGTGGAAGCTCGCCCTCAGCACGCGCTCAGCATTCGCGCACACAGCTATGGCCGCCAGTGAATACTCCCTATATGCTCCTCGCTGTTCTCGTGCCGTTGCGACCCTTCGCCTACTCTGCTCAGCGCGGCGCGCTTGCCATTCCCGCTACTTGGGTGGAGAGCAAATCTTGCGTGGTCTGGCCACCATGTCTCGTGGGTGGGGAAAGGGAGAACTGAGCGATCGCTGCCCGGAGTGGAGCCGCCGGAAAACATTTCAGAAGCGGCGGCGGTGTCTGAGGTGCGATGGCGATGGGAAGAGAGAGCGATCGCGCGGCGGTGATTGGGCGGCGAGCGTACGGACGCCGCCAGATTTCGCCCAATTTGTGACTCTTGGCGAATTCGGGTGGTCAATCGTCGGCAACTTATTTTGCCGGGAAAGCGGCAATAGTGTTCGCGTGGTCAGTTTCCGGCCGGCGCGCACCGTTCGGGTGGTGGTTCTCCGGCAAGCACGGGCAACTTTCCGGCGCTTTTTCTGCCCGAGCTCCGAACGGCCGGGCGAGTAGGCGCCAGACTGTATCCGGTGTCGTCACTTCCGAAATGGGAGAGAAGGTCAGTGAGAAAAAAATGAACGAAAGAGCGAAACTGATCTGAAGTCACCCTAGCAGCCGCTACGAGAGTCAATCCAAGTCGTTAGGACATGGGTGACGGCGGCTCTCGCTAGCGGTGTCGCGCGGGCAAGAGGCGAAGTAAACTGCCACCGCCTGGCGTTTCGTGTTCGGGTGGTGAGGGTCACGTGGTGTGCCGCCGGCGCGTTTCTGGTTGCCGGTTCCGCCGGCTCGTTCTCGCCGGCGATTGACCACCTGAATTCGCCATCTGGGTGTGCGTCCCACCCCCACTCCTAGTGTTTGCACTTATTCTCCCTTTTCTCACCCTCGAAGCGGTCTCGTCCTCGAACGAAGGTGGAACAGATAATGAAGCAAATGAGGTATACCTATGGAGATGCAACTCTGGCAGCAGTCACAGAGTGGAATGTATGAACCGTAGGTGCATTTGACCTTCGGGCACTCGGAGGTCTGGCAGCCCTGAATCGCCGAGTGGCATTCTTCGTCGATGAATACGTTGGTACCTGCCGAAGTGAGCAGAGAAGACCGGGCTTAGATCGAGAACACGGCGTATGTCAGCCACTTTCTAGCTGAACTTAAAGAAGAAACACAAATTGAGAATTTCGTCAGAACGAAATCAAGGTTTTCGTTTCGTTTATTTAGCGATATTCGTCGTAGCAGTAGGTGCTGACCTATTTTATATTTTTAGTTTGACACACTTTACCTATTATTGAAGGGGAGGGAGGATGATGTATTTTTAATTGGTTATCACGACATAGATAGGCTCTTCTTTCAAAACGCTGTGACATAAGTTTCCATATATATATATATATATATATATATATATGCAGACGAATGAGGCGTATTGATGAAATGAGTCACAGGTTTACGCACCGCCGAAATTCGAAATAAACTACGGAGTCAGAATCGGAACTCTGGTCCTCCCAATATCCCAATATCCAATAAAACCATCGTTTTTGCTTGTCACTAATATTGCTGAAACAGTGTTTTACATCGCCCCCCTCCCCCTCCCCCCCCCCCCCCCCCCCCACACACACACACACACACACTCATGAGGATAGTCATACTGGCTGATCGTGAATAAACACATAAATAACGAGCAAATATTTCTTCACTCTCTTTTTGTTTTGAAGTTTTAAACGCAAACAACGCACCTGCAATGCAGTTCTGGCAACACCTGCATGTGCCACCTTCGTCAGCTGCGTCCTCGACACTCCAGCAGACCGAGCGGCCCCTGTGGTACACGCAGTGCGGATCCTTCGCGCACACCTGGTCGGAGCAGCGGGGCAGGGGGCTTTCCGACGCGTAACACCCGCACGCCACGCCAAGGACCAACAGGAGGTGCTGCAGCATGTTCACTTCTCTCGCGCACCGTCGCGCTTCGACTCGGGCAGGCAGGCACAAACAGACTCGGTTTCGCAAGGGCTACGGAACGTCGAGCTACTCGCATATGAAGGCTTACAGATAAACGTGTTGTTTTTTTGCTGCTTTTTTTTTCCCCGTGATTGGTTGTTGCAATGGGTATCACATGCGATGTCGCAAATTCTTGTGTGTGTTTCAGCGGATTGGGAAAAAAAAAAAAAAAAAACACGCTTATCGCGTTTCCTCCACGTGTATGCTTGGCGGAGATCCAGCTGGTGACGTATACGAATGTCGGCGAGAGCAAACATCGGTTTGAATGGCTAGGGTTTTTTTCTTGTGACTTTTGTACCTTCTGTTAGCGGGAACTCAAATGGATTGCCGAACGCGAACCAATAACTCTTCCTACTGTTTCATTTTATGCCGCGTGCCTGTGTTTTTTTTTTAATTATAATTAATGGATTGAGTATACCGAATGTTTCGCACACATTAAGTTTTCCTAAAGGGGCGATGCAACAAAATTTGTACTTTGCGCAAATACCGCTTAGAACGGATCCCTGACGTTAAAGACCTGTGAAACACGAGTTCGTTTTTCACATCACGCAATAGAAGTCCCAGAAGAAAAAAGAAATAAAGAAAAACGAGCAGCGTTCATTCCCTCAACTCGCACCCAGAACAGGCGGCCACGTGATCTGGAGCCGATTATATGCCGCCAATGTTGATCATGCACAGCCACGCGCTGGGGTTGGCAAGGCACAGGACACGCGCTGAGTTCCAGACATCGTTATCGCTCGGCTATTGCCGTCGTTGCAGCGATTAGACACGGGCCACTACCCGAATGCTTCTCGAGCTAGTAATTATCACGAGCCAAAATCAAGTGCTCACGCAATGCTCGGGTCCAATCCATGAACCGCATTCAAATATCGTCACTTGGGTGTACTGCGATCCCCACGTTACGTCATAAAATTTTGCAAAGGAGAGATTGAATGAAAATGCACGCTTTTGTCCTTAAAATTACACAGCAACCAAGGAGTTTCTTGTCCAGTGGCGTTGCGTGCGAGTATCCTTGAGTCCCACTAGTGCCAGTAAGCTCGTGTAAAGTGAAAAACATTCCAATTGCATATCGTTGCACCGCTCCTTTAATCTTTAAAAAAAACATGGCAAATTGCTGGGCGATTCTGTTGCATACGTGAAACGTTCTATCATCACGGGACATGAGGTGACGTGTCGTCAACTTCCCCGCTAAATTTAGCATAGAAACTGAATTGGCGTGTAGGTCACCCGAATCTTCGAGATAAATTTAGAGAAACTATATCGCTGCATAGATCAAGTGACATCAGGTCTCGTTACGTCAACTTCCCCTCTAAATTCAGCGGGGAAAATAACTTGTTGTTAAGGTCACGAGACGTGCAATTTCCCGCTAAATTTGGCAAGCAAATTGACGTCACGTGACCTCATGTCCCGTGACGTATAGACCAATTCAATTTTCCCGCTAAACTTAGCGGAGAAACTGAATTGGCGGGTAGGTTTGTGGCGTCCCATAATGCAACACTGCGCGCGTTGCATTATGGGACGTCACAGACCTATACACCCATCCAACCTCTCCGCTAACTTTAGCGGAGAAACTGAATTGGTGCGTAAGCCAGTGACGTCCCACGATGCAACACTCCGCGCGCTGCATTGTGGGACGTCACAGACCTATACACCCATCCAACTTCCCCGCTGAGTTGAGCGGAGAAACTGAATTGGTGCGTAAGTCAGGGACGTCCCATGATGCACCACTGCGCGCGTTGCATTATGGGGCGTCACAAGCCACCGCTTCACGAAATGCGCCTTCACGAAATCCGGAGCAACTTTACCAAAGAACGTTTCACATTAATAGCGAGCTTGTTAAACAACATGTATATACGTTGAGAAGCTGATGGGAGAGGAGGAAATGAGAGCGCGTGAGCACGTACCAGCGCCAAGCTCTGATTGGAAGGATTAGAGGGTAGATGGAAGGGCCAGCTACCTTTGTCTCCACTCACCGTTCGAACGCGTTCGGATAGCGCTACGAGCTTCTCAACGTTGGATGTCGATCATTATTTTGCATCTCACCTGCGACCAATGTCTAGTTTCAAGGGCGACAGGCATCCCCCACCCTCAGTTCTACAAATAAAACATTTTCTCAACTCAACTCCCTTTCTAGCTCACGCTATACTCATTCACACACTACCTAATGTGGAATTCCTTTTGCGGATTGGAGCGGTTCAAAAGCGCTTCATGCTCGCGTGCTCCAAAACCGCTCCAAATCTATCAAGGGAATTATCTGAGCATAAGAGTGTTTTATCTCAATTTAAGCCCGGTTTTTGAGGTCGAATTTTTTATTTTTTACCAAAACGAAATATATAGGTTTTAGGAGCATTCTTGAAATAAAAGTAAGCTCAAACGGCAAGCCTGTTCTTTTTTTTATTGATTATTGAAGCGGCCAAGGCGAAAAGGGCAATTTTTCTACCTTTCGAGGATCACATGTTTGACCGCTCGCTATTTTGTCACTTCAGGCTGAAAAGTGGGACATCAAATAAAATATCTCAATACTGTTACCACCCCCCTCTTTCTCTTTTCTTTTCTTTTTTTTTATTGGCACACTAATTCCTGAACATTCTCCTACTTGGCTATGCGCCAACTCTTCAAGTAGGAGGAAAAAGAACAGCAACAACTAACCAGAAAACAAAAACCTGCAACAAACAACAACCAGCAACAACAAACAATAAAACAACAACCAACAACAATAAACTACGAGCAAAAATCAACAAACAACTAGCAAAAAACAATCAAAACCCAACATAGGCAAAAATCATCAGTCAACAACCAGCAAACTGCAACCAAGATTAACCAACAATCAACATCAATCTGCGACCAACCAGCAAACTACAATCAACAACCGGCAAATAACAAACAATGCAATTTCAAGTTTAAAGTCTGGTCGTTTCTAGTTTATAGACCAACTCCACACTTTGATGTCACGTCACTGTGGTGGCGCTGCAGTCGGCACTGCGCATGTAACTCAATGCTAAATAAGTGCTAGGAAGAAGAGAAAACTCTAGGTGGCGCAAGCCGCCGCCCGATTCAAAGGTTGTAGACTCATTAATCTATTCATCCATCGCATGCTCCTTCGCTTCACTTCTCCAGGATCTGGTTCCTGAACATGCGCATTGCCCACACCCGATGTGAGCAAACGAGGGGTTGTTCGTAAGCACTGTGCTTCTGCCCACTGGAAAAAAAAGAAAGAAGAAAAAAGCAGCATGACACTGTTTGGGGGAAAGCCCTCGAGCAAACCAATAAGTTTCGCCGTCGAGTGTAAGAGAACAAACGGCCATGCGATCTCTCCCGGCTTGAGTTCGCGAGCCTACCCTCAGTGCAAGCGGAAAACAGCTGTTTTAGTTTCTCTGGGTTGTGTAATGCAGTCTAGACAACGCTGCTTCGAGCGTCGCCTGCGTCCACAGTGCATCCGTCCTCGTGCTGATTCCATGGAAATATGTGCCCTTGAAATTTTTACTGTCCTCCTCCGTCTAACAAAACCCGCTTTAATTGAAGTACATAAACGCTCAGCTTGAAATATTCCCTTTTCTTATTCTTTCTGGGAGCGCTGCGACGACTTTAACACCAAAAATAAATGACAATAAACACCAATTTTTTTGTTGTTTTTTTTTATTTGAGTAGGGAGTTAGCACGCTTCCGCCATTCTGATCGTGCTTCAGTAACACCACCTAGAATATTCAAAACATGTGAGCAGCCCAAAGTAATTGTGGTGCATGTATATTTAGACAGCCGAGGGGCTACTCTGCTTCAGTGGGTGCCATGTTTCTCAGCTGTAGATGAAAAAGTTGGCCAGTGCAGAACGTGCACCATCTTCGTTATCTTTTACTCTTACGCACTAAACAAAAAGAAAAAAAATATATTTTCTTCTTTTTAGTTTGTACGAGTAAAAGATAACGAAGATGATGTTTAATATATAGCAGAGTTGACAGTCAGCGCTGCGTGAATAATTGGGTTGTGTGTATGTTTATACAGCCTAGAACTTGGTCTGCCTCACAGGGGCGACGAGTCTCCCAGCTGTAGATGAGAAATTTAGCCAGTGCGGTACAACCGCTAGCCTGGGGTTTTTAACGTGCATCACGCAGTAGTGATACACGACCGCACGCCGGTACGATGCTCATCCAGATCGAAACGGGCAGGGGTGGGGCTCGAACCCAGGATCCCTGGGTTCTGCAGCGCGAGCTTTCGCTCCACGTGCTCCGAGCTGGTGTGCGCAGCGCTGCGTGAGTGTTACTTCTTTGTGTGTATGTATTTTTATAGTGTGTTGTGTTTGTGCACTGTGAAGTGATTATTTTTGCGTCACTTCTTAACAATATACCTCTATTGCTTTTATTTTGCACTCAACTGTGAAGTGTGAACAAAATACAGAGGTGGTCGAAACTTGGGGAAGAACTTGAGATCGTAACTGCTGTGAGACTTAGAGTGGCTGTCAACGCTCGGCTGTCCCTCTGAAGCGACGAGGATCTTTCGTTTCAAGTATCCCTTCCGTACACCCTCATAGTTCCATGCAACGTCGGATTAAAAAGGCACATTTAGTCCCTTCAGTACTTCTATACTCGGGGGCAACTTTCTGAGGCAGTTCAGCAACAATGAAAACATGTTTGGGTGCCTCAATGATGTGTATATACATATAAAAGGGGTCGTGCATTATTTTTTTGCTTTCAGTAAATACCGCTAGTAAGAAGTAATCCCTCATGTTGATAACTGGCAAAAGCATTCATTAGATTTCCCCTCCGCGCAATGGCAGACGCGGAAAAAGTATAGGAAAGCAACACCTTCCTCAGCTCGCAATTAGAACAAGTGGCCACGTAATCTGACGCTAATCATATACCGTAAGTGCTCATCATAGTCATGCTCTGGGGATGGCAATGTATAGGGTATGAGTTGAGCTTATGATACTGTTAGATTTTGGCTATCATCATCTTTTATTGAAGACGATACGTTATCCGAATGTTTGGCTTTGCTGAATTGTCATAATTCCGAGCTCTCGACTCGGGGTTGTAAAAATCGCGTACGTCACGGTGT